CATCATTGGGCAATTTTTCTTCAACGAAAACGAAACTGCCGATGGAAATCGATATCGGTGGTTGTTTTCTCATTATGTCTGCCCACAAATGCGTGAAAAAGGTCTTGATGGTTACTGGTTTCAACAAGACGGTGCGCCATGCCACACTGCAAATATAACAATCCAGTTTCTTCAACGAAAATTCTCTGGACGTCTGATGTCAAAAGGAGGTGACATTGACTGGCCACGCTGGTCTCCAGATTTGACCCCTCCGGACTTCTTCTTGCGGGGTTATTTGAAAAGTCAAGTGTATGCCAGCAAGCCCCAGACCACTGAAGAACTCAAGACAAACATTCGTACCGCAATCGCCGCAATACCACCAGAGATGCTCGAAAAAGTAATGGAAAACGCAGCAAAACGGGCATATTTTGTTTTGACCAATAAAGGTAGCCACTTGATAGATGTGTTCAAAAACTAGTCCCAATAAATTGTAAATAATCTTATTTAATAAAAATACCCGATATATAGAAATCAGTTTTTCGTTTTCAAAGTTATTTCATGTTTACATAACCGACATAAAAGATGGCGCACCCTGTACGTACCTCTTGGAGGCGCAGGCGATGTTCATAGATATAAGTGTGTTCACATATTTTTATATTTATCAAATCATTATTGGGCATAGATGCTCATTTCATCAAGAAGGGAAATATGTCGACATTATTTGCAAATAAAATTTGTATTCATGTATTATGGCAGCATAAAGCAATGGTAATCTTCTTTTTCCAGAGTCATTGTTGAACGTTAAGATGAAATGAAAAATGTTTAACATTTATTTGACGAAGTTAGTTTAGTAACTTGACTTTGTCCTGCACAAACTTGTACTTAAACATAGAGCAAATTTAATGAATATCCTATGTGGCTGCAATAGGTACTTTGACTGCGCATCGGAAATTCGAACATCATAAACGAAGATTTTTTTATGTTCAAAGAAGGAAAACTAATACTGTCGGAAATATTAACTGTAAAATTTGAGATTACAATACTTGCATAGTCTTATGTCTTGTGAAACGTTGTTTAATCGCAATAAAAGGACACATAATGTTAAAATAGTTTTGACTTGCCAAATTAATGAAAAAAAGGATAAGAAACAAGAACTCTTTGCGGATTCGAACCTGCGAACTTTGTACCAGCAGCCCTACCCCACTTCACCACGCACCATCTTAGTCTATTCGATCTTTGAATAGCTATAATTGACACTGACAAATCTAAAGGAACGTGAACGAGGACATCAAATCTGTTATAAACAATAACAATAATCTTGGAAATCCTAAAAGATACAAAGCCGAAACTTCGAACAACATATTTAGGAGTAATACTGAACATTTTCCCTAATTGGTTGATATTTGTCTGTTTTTTTTTTTTTCGCTTTCTCGAGTATGTTTCTCAACAATTTTGACCCGCACTGGTTTTAATGGTATGAGGTTCTGAAAACAAAGCTATACTATATTAGAATGTATGTCTAGATTTCAGTTTATTGTATGACGTTACGACCACCACTGAGATCTTTTTCAGATGCCAGTTGTACTTGAAAAATACCACAATGATGGTTGAAACGTCGTATAATAAACTGAAGTCTAGATATATATATATATATATATGGTTTTGATTTGACCAGACAATGGAATCCTATGAAGATAAAAACTACATAATAAGCACAAAGACGAAATGCTTGAATTTATTTACAAGAAAATATATAACCCTTTATTTTTTTCATAAAAATGACAATCAGCTTGGTATCTGATTTGCGATTCATATTGACAAGGTAAATTCGTGTATTTTGTTATAAGATGCCCTTTAAACGAACACTGTATGTTGCTCTATAAACTTTTAGTGATAGCTGGAAGACAGGGGTTTTGAGATAAATAATTAGAAATTCTCAAAAACTACTTAACCCATTGACTCCAATTTTGTTGTGGTTATTTAGAGTATGAGACCTAGGATTTTGGAAATTTCAAGTACCTCTGAGACTATCGTAGCATTAACAAGTCCAGAACCTGCATTTTGACTGGGTTTTAGGCAATAACTTTTTTGCTTTTGACCGGATCTCCTAAGTATCTAAAACCTTATTTGAAGAGTTAGTTTGCTCATGCCAACGCTTTCAATTGAATCCTAATAACGATTTTTCTCATTCTTTGTATATATCTTCTGCTATTTCTTGATTTTCCTCAGTACCAATATATTTCACCATCTCTGCACCACCTGGAGGATCAGTCTTTACCAAAGTAAAATCTTTGACTCCAATAACTTTTGCAAATTTGTTGCCTCATTAAAACTCTGCAGCTGTTGTCTAGCTCTTGATGTGCACTTGTCTGCATTGCACTAAATAAATACTACTACTATTTGGGTAATAAATATTTTGAAAGTGACTTCTATTTATCATTGTCTGTCAGAGCGGTCCGCATGACATTTTCTGTTGGTTGAAGTAACATAGGTTAGGTCTAGTTGTCCAGATACCAGACAAAAGAGGTTTTTCGCGGGATCCCGTAGTGAACGGAGCGGGAACAGATGGAATTTCCCCTTCCTTTCGAAGATTTGACAGTTTCAAGTTACACCGGAAGTGGTTAGATGGCGCATGTTGCGCAAAATGTTTGCTTTAAGCTCCTTGATAAACTTAGCTGCCTTCTCTGAATCTGAAATAAACAGGCCGATCGTTTTTTGTGCAATGTATAAATATATCAATAACCGATGACCTTCTCCATCGTCATTTAAAATCAGGTGGACGTGTTCCTCCATTTATGATTTAATAATTTAACTCAATTTTCGGCACTGCGAAGACAAATTTTCAATTGAGATGTCTGATTTTTAAATGACATTGACATAAGACCTGTCACCCGCTAGAACCTCACCGACGTTAGGCGGTTACCCGTACCACGTGATTTTTTGAAATTTGAATGACGTCAAATCCGTCTTCCCCCTATTCCCGTTCTCGAAAATTTGAGTATCAGTTCCCGGTAGTGCACTGTGCTACACTGTGGACTCACGAAAAAATCCTTAAAGTCGAAGAGAAAAAAGGGAACAAGAAAGATGAAAAGAAGGGGGAAAGCAAAGAGGAGGAAGTGTCCCAGCCTGTGTGCCTTAACATTGTTAACTAGTATTCGAGAATTTTAAATTGATCCAACAATTAATTTACATTGGTTGTTTAAGAAAAATTCTAATTTTAGTTGGACCCAAAGTCGTACGAGTTAATTTTGTTCACAGTGCGACCCGCGGTCTTGTTTGCTTGCGAACTTGCTAAACTGTATAGTCTATCAATTCATGGGACAAAAGTTGCTGTGCGAATTCACTCGACTATAACATAGCTGCACCTGTTGTTTGATGTAGTCCTGTAAGGGAGGCCTCTGTGAAGGATCTCACTGGCATGGCCTACCATGGGGTGTTAGTTATTGTAGGGTTCTGTTCTGCAAAATCTGCAGACTACGCATATGCGTTTTGTCGAGAAGTTCAAAATTACTATAAATGAGTTGACGTGAAAATCACAAATGTCATAGAACGTTACAACAATTCTTATAAGTTAAATTCTTAGTCAATCATTAACTGGATGAAAAGCAGCCGTTACTTTGAAGTGTCGTTATCTAATACTAACTGGCCAGTTAGTGATTATGAAATCGGCTCTAAGAATGATATCGTAGCAGTAACGTTAAATACAGCTAAAAAGTCCCACAATGTTATGAAACATAACCGCCATCTTTTATTGATCTGCGAAACATATAGGTTCGACAATAGAATTTTTTTTCGAATATTCTGTTAGACAATGAAAATCTCGCAAACTTAAAAATCTACTATATATCAGTGCTTTCTTACATTCTTTTCAGATCCATTAACAGAAGTAGGAGTTTTTACCCGGGGAATCGAACACCGATTTTCTCAATATTTGACATTTTAAATTCAGGATATCATGTGTTGGGTAACTTAAAAATTCAACGTATACATTTATTTTTGTCCAATATTGAAGGTTACACTAAAATTTTTGATTTGTTTGTCAGTAAATTGGAAAAACCACATTTTGGTTGAATTTCTTCAATTTTTGACGCTTTTCGTTAAGAAAGAAAAGTCGGCTAACCTAGTAACCCATTGTATGTATGCGTGTTTTTACTTTATTTTCAGTTCGGAGACTAATGTTTCTTGTCCGGAAAATTGGCAAAAATCGGAAAAACCGCATTATCAAGGATTTTCCCAATTTTATGTAGTATATCATAACTTGGCTAACTCAAAAGTTGCGCCTATGTATTTGTGTGCATTCATACAAGTTTCCTTGTTAGAATTGTAATTTGTTGCTCGACAATTTGCGAAAATAGGATAAACCGCAAGTTACGCCACTGGAATTGCATCCACTTGCATCAAGAATATCCAGTCACCATTTTCATCCGAAATTATAAATATGTGTCACATCTATTGTATTTAGCTTTTACTCATTTGCCATTGTAATTAAACAGTCTCAATAAATTTTTTTTGTCAGTGTTTCGAAAAGAAAATTTTTAAAAACAACTTTCTCGAAACTCCCGACATAACTCGCATTTTCGCTGTTCTATAGGTTTTAACGTTTTTGGCTAGGAAAGGAATACTTGGCTAATATGGTAACCCACTGTATATTTGAATTTTATACTTCCTTTTCTACCGTTGTCAGAATCATGATTGCTTATCCGAAAAATTACCATAAATCGGTAAAAATGTATTTTTACCGGTTTTTTCAATTTTAGTCACTAACAAACTATTCCTGTTAAAATATCTTGACAACTCACTAACTAGCAACCAGTGGTGACATCTCCAAACCGCAAGTAGCTCAGCCAGCTATCATATCCATATTAATCCAATATAATAGTTTGACTACAGTTGCGGTGAGGAACGATCGTAATTCTAGAACATTCAATTCTTCTTCCATTAATCAAAAACCACCGTAAATGTAGATGAATAAATTAAATCATATGATAGCTATTGTAGTTCTTGATATCTTCTATTTTCAGATGAGATACTCCAGGAAAGACAACATAAATCATGCTACGGGACAACAGTCACGATCACTATCAAGAAATAGGAAGGTTAACGAGGCGCCTCTAAATTTAAATAAAAATATGAAACGAAAAAAAGATAAGACCAACCGTACACTTCTGCAACATAAAGGAGCATTCACACATACATCAACGACAGATACGGAAAGTGATGCGCCGTTATCTCGCAGGTTAAAAAAGATAAGACCGTCTATTCCAATGCAAACTGAAGCAACCTCCGGTATGCCAAGTAGCGGATATGAGGAGATTGACGATATTCCACTAGCACAAAGATTAAGTTCTGCAATCAGTATATCAAAGACTCCACAGCCAGATACTTCGAAGGATGAAGAGTCAAATTTTGAGGCAGTTTCTGAAGGAGCGAAAAATACAACTGTCGATCCGGCTCAATCTTTGCGCGAAAAACAAAAGTATAGGAATTCTGAAATAGAGACGCATCTTGCTGCTACGGGATCTGAAATTGAATTATGTAATGTAAGTGAAACAAAGGCAACTGATGAGACGCAGACACCTTCCGAAGAAAGTACAGTACATATAAAGGATCTTCCAAGCTCTGATTCTAATACCGTAGCATCAAAAACGTCTACAAAAGAACAGTCGCAGGATGAAGTTCATGACATCGAGAATAAGCAAGATATTCCAAAAACGAAGGGACAACTGAAAGAATATCCTATCAACGTTGAAATAGATGACTCAAGTGAAGCTGCAGCTTACCAACATCCCACCAGCATTGAGACAGAAAATTCAAATGAAAATGACAGTACAAGTAAAGCGTCTCAACAGGATCTTAACACTGAAATAAAAAACTCTTGTGAAGCAGTTGCCGTTGATGACATATCTGAGCGATACGTGCAACGTGATGATAGAGCAGTGACAGAAAATCACAGTGAACTGTTAAAAAATTCTGCACCCCAAAGCTCAAAACAAGGAGTTGATAAGAGTACTTCTAGCATTGCAAAGTTGGCTCATATGAATGACAGTAAGTGTAATGCCTCCCCAGTCCAGGAATGTGGTGATAAAGTAGAATCCAATCTTCCCAATGAAGCAAGCGATGACATCACTAGTACATCACGGCCTCCTGTTGACAATTCTGAAAGTGAAAGAACACTAGATACTTTAACTGAGATTAATGGAGACTTGATAACTGAAGTTGATGCTGAACTCTCGTCTAAGCTAGTGTCTAATAATGGCTTGACTGATGATTCACAGGACAAGGGTGAAAAACTAGAAGTTAAGAAACGTAAAAGGAAAAGCCATAGATTAAACACAAGAAAAAAAATATAAGTGTATCTATAAAAAGACTACACTGCCATCAGTTTGTAATATTAGTGAAGTGTGTGTACAGTCTGAATGTTAATAGTAGGTTAAGTTGGGCCAACTTTTGAGGCCCATGTATATTTCGAACTTTATACGTTTCATTTTATGAGCAAACTATTTACATCTTGCAAACTAAGGAAAAATGTTTCTGTTATATCTATGTATGTTAAATGAATACACAAGTTGTATTCACGTATGTATTCATATGTTTATCTTCTAGATATCTGGCATTAAATTTGTATTTCTTGATATACTGTTGTATCATTAAAGGAGTTGCCATTTTCTGTCATGAAACATGATGCAGCGTTATACCTTCTAGAACAAAAATCCGTTAAAGATAAGTTTAATGTTTCTGTTCATACTCTTCTTTACGTCCTAGGGCGGTAAAGTAACATAGCGCCTGGTATTTTTAACCGGGCCTAAACTTATTTGCTTGGTCCGGAAAATGAAAGTAGCAGAAAGGTGTTAATTCAAGTAAACATTGTTCTTTTTTCTTATCACAAACTCACAAAAGTAATAATCCACACACTGTAACTTATAATCTCCTCTTCTTAAATTTTGATAAAAGCCTCTAAAATTTGCTGGTATTAAAGGAATTTGTTCCTGAATATTATCAAACTTTTTGGCCCCAATAGGTCGGCTTCTATCGGCATTCAATAATAATGGTTCATCCCTTTTATCGAGATTTCGCTGTTTTCTTATATCAACAATAGTCCAATTTTCCGTTTCATTAAAAGAGTATATGTATACTAAGTGACATATAAATCCGAACACCCAGTTTAAATGGTTTTATTTTAATAAAAGTTGGTGAATATATTTATCTTACTGTAAATAACAAGTGAAAAAATTTTCAGCCTTATCAGTTGGACATTCCGGTTTTTATACTGCTTTTTTTTAATTCACTAACGCTCTAAAAATGAATATTTCAGCCGCAGTAAAGAATCAACGTTGGCGGATTTTGGTTCTTGACATCCTTTACGATCGGATACGATGCCTAGAGTATGGAGACCTGTACGATTTCGTCAACTTAGTGAGTTCGATAGGGGCCGTATAATGGGACTTCGGGAAGCTGGACTTTCTTTTCGGGCAATTGCAGTTAGAGTGCAAAGAAGTGTAGACACTGTAGTTAGGTGTTGTCAGGCATGGCTTCGAGAAGGCCGTACGCAAAGAGCAAGGGGCACTGGATGCCGCCGTAGAACAACAGACCGTGAAGATCGCCGCCTAAGATTATTGGCCTTAAGGGACCGTTTCTCCACTACCAGGTCCATTGCAAATGAATGGTTTGCAGAACACGGAAGACCTATTGGCATGCGAAGTGTTTACCGACGAATGAGAAGTTTTGGCTTGTTTTCATACCGGCCACACTGGGTCCTCCCTTTAACTCGGTAACACCGACGTAATCGCCTTGAGTGGTGCAGACAACGGTCACTCTGGGATCAGGAATGGAACAGTATTGTCTTTAGTGACGAGTCTCGATTTTGTTTAGGCATGCACGATGGTCGTGCCAGGGTTAGAAGGCGACGTGGTGAAAGGAGGAATCCACAGTTTTTTGTTGAAAGACATGTTCATCACACTGTTGGAGTTATGGTTTGGGGTGCTATAGCTTATGGTTCCAGGTCACCTTTAATCTTCATCAGAGGTAACATGAACGCGCAGCGTTATATCCACGAAGTTCTATAACCCCATCTTTTACCCTATCTTGACACCCTGGCAGATCCAACTTTCCAACAAGATAATGCCCGACCACATGTTGCAAGAGTCACAATAGACTTCTTTCAACATAATGATGTCACATTGTTACCATGGCCACCAAGATCTCCCGACTTATCCCCAATTGAGCACGTGTGGGATATGATGGGTAGGAGATTGCTCAATTTGCAACGTCCTCCTCAGACTCTAGAAGCACTTCGAGAGGAGTTGGTGGTTGCCTGGAATGAGATACCACAGGAGGACATTGACCACCTGATCAGAAGCATGCCTAGGCGCGTTGGAGAATGCGTAGCACATCAGGGTGCATCCACACATTATTAAAGGTCAAAGAGCTTTAAAGCAGTGAAATTTTTATCATTTACTTATTATGCTTCATTAAGTACTTATACAAAATTTTATTAAAATAAAACCATTTAAACTGGGTGTTCGGATTTATATGTCACTTAGTATACTTGGTTACACCAAATTCTTGAATCTGGATCCATCATACATCTCTGAATGAAAATTTCTCATTAGTTGTAGTTTTTTTCTATCGACCAGTTTAAGTTTCCTTGGAAGTTGTTTAGTATCAACAAATTTGTCCGTCATTATTGTAATATTAAAAGGTGTTTTTTTTTCCTGACTTCTGCCATGATTGAAATATATTGATCCACCGTATAAATTACTTGGTGCTGATTGACTTTTCTACAGCTGCAAAATCTGTATCAGAGTCCATGAACGTATGCCCTACTTCAGGAAATTTATGGTAATTTTTTTTGAAGACTCGAGAGATTATTAGGCAGTGCCATAGACAGACAATATAATTTTTTTTATTTTAGCCACCTGCCGAATCACTCCATGCAATCAGATGATCGGAAGTCATGCCTTGGTCCTTGATATTTTCCAAAAAGGCCATAAGTGAGCTGCCAATCTCTTCAGGACCGCGACTTCCTTGTTTTCGGTCCAGACGTGGAAAAAAACTTTGCCACTTGGTTGCTGTGTTGATATCAAATGTAGTCCTAGATTGTAGAGTCATACTTGTCATAAATAGAAGAAATTTCCGGCAAGAGAAGCGTTTTTTGTAAATCAAATGTGAGGTATATGATTTTTTCGTTTGTTTTGTTAGGCCTCGATCAGATTTTTGTATGACAAAAGCTTTTTTATACTTTGCAACATGTTCCTCATTCGATCATACATCTCAAACATCTTTACATTTTAAACAAAAACTGAATTGACTCTTGAGTTAAGACCTTTTTACCTATAATGCAAGAGTTAACACCATTTAAAGTTTACAGATTGAAGTTTTTGATATAGTTCACACTTTTGTGAATCTCTGTATCTAAGAACTGAGAGCCATCTTTGGCCGGAACATATGTGCTACCAAAAAAGCACCCTTTTATCACCTTTTTGCACTACAAATCTTAAAAAACCGAAAAAATTGAGTTAATACCTTTTTGCACCAGTCTTCAATTATACTCTAATAAACTGGTGGACAGTTACTTTGCAACATGGAAAATTCTACCCAAATTCAATCGATATTTTTGGAACGGAAAGAGATATCGAGTTGCGGTATCCAGGAGGTTCTTGTCAAATCTTTGAGATCACTTACAGGGTTCGACCGGTATATTTCTTTTATTTATCCACTTATATGAGATAAATAAGCATTTTCTGATTCCGTCCTCAAACAATGTTGATCCTGATCCTGAAAAATTTCTCTTTTACAAAAGCAATTTTCGTATTTTCGCTGTTATTTTCATTTGAACCTGTTGGAAGCCATTGTTTACAAATATCTTTATGAAATAAAAACTCTTGCAACGGGGGCGGATGGAATTAATATTGAAATGCTACTTTTATGCTGTCCGCACATTTTACCAGCCATAACGCATATTATTAATTGTTGCCTAATAGAAAATACTTTTCCAGTCTGTTGGAAAGTTGCAAAACTTCATCCTCTGCCAAAGAAAGGCACTATATGTAGCTTGTCGGATCTTCGTCCAATTTCTATATTACCAGTGCTGTCTAAAGTTCTGGAAAAAAATATAAAATTTCAGTTAATGCTTCATATAGATGAATATGATTTGCTGCCTTCATTTCAATCAGGGTTTAGAAAGGGTTTTAGTTGCACGACAGCGCTTCTAGATGTTTCGGACGAAATTATCAGGGATATTGATAGCGGCAATACAGCGGCTCTTGTATTGCTTGATTACACAAAGGCATTTGATACAATTAATCAAAAGTTAATGTTTTCTATTTTAAAATACATGGGATGTTCCGTTAATGCTATTAAACTATTGAAAAGTTATTTCTCGAAGAGGACGCAGTTTGTCATAATCTCTTCCGAGGTGTCTGTTTCCAAGCCTGATCTGTGTGGGGTACCTCAAGGCTCTATCTTGGGTCCATTACTTTTTTCAGTATACGCTGCAAATATTACTAATAGTTTGATATATTCAAATCCTTATTTATATGCTGATGATACCGAGATAAAATGTTCGTTCTCTCATACAGATACAACTGCGGTTAGATTATTAAATGAAGATCTTAATAATTTGACAAATGAAAGCATAGCACATCAGTTATCCGTAAATCCAACCAAGTCAAATGTTTTTTTGTTCGAGAAACACAAAAAGAGCATGGCAGATTCATTCCATATTTCAATTAATAATGTTATTCCTCATACATCCGCTATTAGGAATTTAGGCTTGATTATGGATATATCTTTTCTACCGAACTTATGGCTTTGCTTTGTGACACGCTTGTTCTGTCATTATTCAATTACTGCGAATCAGTTTATGGGCCTTGTATAACAAGGTATGATGTTTATCGTATACAGCGTGTCCAAAACTCTTGTCTTAGGTTTATATCAATATATCAATATCAATGATAGGTATCGGAAACTGATTTCCCAACCACGACATCGTACATCTATGTTTAACAGATGTTTTTCTCATTTTATCTACCACTTGTATAATCACGTCCCCACAAACCTTAAGTCTATGTCTGTGTCGGCTTTTAAAAGAAGTTACAGAAAATGTCTATTAGATGAATTGTAGTGTTTCCTTTATATTGTTCCTTTCCTTTTTATATTTTAAATGTTTCTTTTTGTTACATCTGCCTAAAATGGTTTGACATTTTTCGTTAAATTATATTTTTTATATAATTTCTTATATCTTATATACATACATTTTTTTGACGTTTGAAATTATTCTTTATTAATTATTAATATTAGTTTATATAATTTGTTTAAGAACTCCTCTGTTGTAATTTTGTTTGTTGGGCTGGTACTTTGATCAGCTCGTCTGTTTACTAGTCCCTTTTGCAGGGAATTTATGTTGTTTCATTTTTAATTTTTTTCTCATTGTATATTTTTTTGCTCTGCAATATATATATATATATATATATATATATATATATATATATATATACAGGGTTATCCAAATTAAGTGTCCACCATTAGTAACTTTGTTATTAGTGAAAATACAAAGTTGTTTGAATTAGCAAACTAGTAGCATTTTTAACGCTGGTAAAAATGAGAAATAAAAA